GGACGGCGGGGGGGTTCGGCGTAATCAATGGCAGCTTTCTTGCCTGTGAGCCGCGACGTGAGCAAATGAAGCCGTTTGGGTCCCGAGTTACATCTGGCCACGAAGCCAAGAATAAGTTTATGGAGATCCGCGTGGATTTACGAGGTGATAATAGGCCCGCATGTGACTCGTCTCGGGCCCAGCTGGAGCGCCGATTGGGCTGCAAGGCGTCTTGCGCGCCGTAAAAAAAAAGAAAAACAAAAAAAAAAGAAAAGAAAAACAGTTGTGGTGGCTGATTCGAAAGTTCGACAGTGGGTGCAAGCGAAATTATTGGGGTTTTTCTTGGTTTCATGACAAAAAACAGCTGCTGAGTAATGACAGCATGACAGAGGATAATACAGGCAAGTTACTTCCCGATGTTAAATGAGACATTAACCCTGATCTTGTTCTTTACGAGATTTTGCAAAGCAAATATGACATTTTTCCATCGCTTCATACCCAAATTTGAAACCCTACCTCTGTCTTTAAACCCTCAGTTACTTTGTCAAAGCCTAACCCTTGTTTAAAACCATAACACTGGGGTTAAAGCCAGGCTCGAAAAACATCATTTGAAACCCTGACTTGAAAGCAGAACCCGGCACGAAACGAAGGATGGACGAGTACCGATACCCAGGTACCGGGTACTCATGGACGCAGCTGATAACACTTACCGATATTTAAGGCAATACTGTTATGGTGCAGCAGCGTGACACATCTGCAATCCATTAACTGCGTCAGAAAGAAAGGTCTTTAGTCACAATTTTGTGTGAAGCAAAATGGTATCGGTAATCGGTATCAGTGACTATCCAAAGAGTCATATGGGTATCGGTCTGAAAAAAAAGTGGCATCAAAAATCCCTACTGAAAAGCCTAATTTGAAACCTTAACCCGGGTGTTAAACCCGACCTTGCACTCCCAGTTGAGGGTTCACTCCTAACTGTGGGTTGAAATTTGAAACTTTCACCCTTCCTTGAAACCCTATTTGCGGCTTGATAACTTCATTTCAAATCAAACTTAAAATTGCAACGTCAAACACGAACCTATTAGAAACCCTACCCCTGGTAAACACCCCAACTTAACGCATTACCTTGAAACACAAATTAGAATTTATTGAAAACCCAAACACTGAGCTGAAACCCTGATTTGGAACGCTATTTAAAACCCTGACCCTCGTGTGAAACCCTAACTTGGGCTTTCATCACCCTGTTTTGCAACCCTCATGAAATGTAGTCCACCCCTGACTGCGATTCGCGTGCCGTTGCCGTCTCGACTGAAACCACAAACATGAAATCATCAAAATGATCCAATTCTTCCTTTCCCAAAACGTCTCCCGAAGTACAATCAAGCGACGTGTTCGTTTCGATTGCGGGAACGGCGTGAGGGGGGAAACACTTTGATTTTGCTGTCCAGGAATGCGAGCGAGGCCGCAGATGTTATTTTTGTCGGGGGCTTGCTGTCATATTTGGGCAACGTTCACCTGACAGATGGCTGACGACGGCTGCGGTCGGCCGCGCTGCACGCACGCGGCCGGCCGCAAACGGTGAAGCAAAATAGATTAAAGCTGACAATTGATCCAATTCGGGAAGCATTTTCATGCATTTCCCCGAATCGAAGGAGGAATAACGAACCAAGAGGGAACACTGGGCCACTGGACTAGCATTTGCCATTCGTCACACGAGTCGGACTTGAGTCGCCAGCTTTCGGACTTGAGACTCGCTTGGCTACAAAAGACTCGACTTGAGTTCGACATGAATGGGACTCGATAAGTCCTACCTGTCGACATCTGAAAATCGCAATTTCGAAGACAGCGTGCCATTTGTTTAGATTCTGAAGGAGGAATCGTTTTTTTTTTTTGGGGTGGCGTCCGCATGAACGTCGCAACCCATCGGCAGCGTCTCGTGTGGAATGCCAGTGTCACGCAGGAAGATAAAATGATCAAATGACTCAATCTAGGATTCGAGATTCTGTTTTGGATCCAATCAGGAAAAGCAGAATGGTACCGTCCGAGAAGAGAGACCACAACTACGACGTACAACCCCATCCGCCACAATCAAATCCGCGATAAAACGTAAGATACGTTGACGACAAAGTTCGGCCAACTGATAGCTGGTTAACCATGAAGTCGGCTTCGTGTCAGTTATTAAGCGTTTATTTGAGAAGACGAAGTCATAGGCAATATGAAGGGTGGTTTGCGACCAATTCAAACACGATGCCGTTGTGATCGACGAGGTTAGAATCGCTAGCCATTAGCCAGTGGAGCTACTGAGAGCTCAGTGGCTCATTTGCGCCTGCATGAGGCGAGTGAGTACGATTGTTTCCCTTGTCTTGCTTAACTCTTGTCATGGGTTGACTCAAATTTTGGCAGAGTAACTTAGGACGTGCTTGAAACTTCAAAATGATGACACAATTATGACTTACACAAGTGACAAGCATATAGCGGCTGACCAATCTGTGGCTAATGCGAGAACTTAACCCAGCGGTCCCCCTCACTGCATCAACCAAAACATTTGCTGTATGGATCAGAGTGGCCTCAAGGTCAAACACATTTTACAAAAAAAAAAAAAAAAAAGTCCACCAATGG